GCCGAAAGAGACCAAATGCCACGGTGCGGTTTCAAAATGACCCCAGCCCAACGGTTACATTTCTGGCCTTCTTATACGCCAGAACGGACGACTCGTTTGGGCCAGTCGGCAACTAGGTCCAAGGCCTCCGCCGCAACTGGGCCGGCCCGCCTCGACCCACGCCTGGTTCTTCCCCAACTCGACGCGAATCCGGCCGCCTCCTGGTTCCTGGAGCAGGCCGCAGCGAAAATGGCCGAGCCTCCCGCCGCCGCCTGCCCCACCGAGCTGGAGCTCGCGCGGGCGCGGTGCCGCGCGCTGCACGATCGCCTCGCCGCGTCGCCCTCCCTGCCGCGCCACCCCGCTCTGCGCTCCCTCCTCCGCCTCGTCGCGGCCGAGCTGCGGTTCCTTGCCTCGAGTAGCCACCCCGACCCCGCCAGGCCGCTCTCCTCCAACCTGCCCCACCTCGCGGCGCTCCACCTCCTCCTCACCCACCCCGCCGTGCGCTCGCCGTCCCGCCTCTCGCCCCTCCCGGGCGTGGACTTCGCCTGCGCCTTCCGCTCCCGACCCGCGTGGGTGCTCCTCTCCGCGCGCAACCCTTCGGGTTTCCAGTGGGTCCCGCGCAAGGGCCTCAGCTCCCGCGTCGCGGCCGTGCTGGATGCCGCGCGCTCCGCTCCGCCGGCAACCCGCCCCGAGAAGCTGCTACTCGCCTTCGCCCGTGGCGTCGGCGCGGACATCGTGTTCGGGCTCGCCGATGAGTTCAGGGCCGTGGAGGTCGACTTGCTAGCGGAATTCGTTGGCGAGGCCGAGGACGACAAGGAGGAAGACGGCTGGGTTAGCGTCAGCTTCCACCCCAATGAGGAGATAAGGCGCTTTAGGGCGTTCGAGATTGAAGTGGTGGATGGTGGTGGTGAAGTATTGTTACCGCCACCGCTCCGGGAGGTGGAGGAGGGGAGCGGTGACCAATTGGAGGGTTGTTTGTTTGCTGACTTCTTGGGGAAGATGAGGATGAACTCCATGGAGATGGTGAATCTAGACACAACGGCTCTTATTGCGATAGTATCAGGTATCAGCAATGGCGGGGTGGGGAAGCTGATGGGTGCACCGGAGGCGGAGACCAGGGCCAGGTTCAAGTGCAACTACAAGTTCGTCATGGATCAGGTGCTTTGGAAACATTTGATTTTCAACCTAGAAGAGTGTGTTCATAAATAATCTAGTTCATCTAGTTAATTGACTTCGAGTTTCTAATGCTGTTTGATAAATCCTGACTGTAAATATCGACAAAATTAAAGTGCATACTATACATCATATGTTTCTATAGTCCACTGAAGATGATAAGCAGAATTCAAAAGTACATAGGATGTATTCATATTGCTATGAGCGAAACCTGTTTATTCAAAAACACAAGTAGAGGAATATTTGCCAATAAGAGCTGTAAATCTTGTGTTGAACTTAATAGGATGTATTCATACTTTCTCGCAGGCGCAATCCGAGCTCCAGTCTCCAATATTTGTTGAGCTGGGGAAAGCAGTGGACGGAAAGAAGTGTATCATATGTGAAGCGGTTAACTCAGAGTTCAACGAAATTGTTTCAATGTGTGGTGGGCCAGAGGAGAAAACCAGAGCAAGTCAATTACTGAAACAACTTATGTGAGCCTTCTTATACAACTTTGTTTCTATGAGTTACGCAAGCATAAATTCTTTATATTTCGTAATTCTAATGGGCCTTTAATTCTCCAGTATCAACTCTAGTTTTCAATGTTTATTACATGACCTGCCTTTATCTGGTCAAGTTCATTTAACCACCTACATTTGCGATCAGAGGGAATATTAGATAACACTGATGCCCCTTTATCTGTCTAGTATAAAGTCTAGTTTTCAGTTGTGATTCCATAGCCTACCTTTGATTTCGCAGCAGATTTACTCGGTAGTTTCTTTCTGCTTCTGATTTTGCAGTCATTTTTCCTTCTTATTTTTGAAGGGAAAACTTGTAGTGCAGACTTGATCTAGACACTTTGCAAGTGTGACAGAACTAGAAGAAAAAAGTGAGAGAGAGATATTTGCCATCAGAAAATAAAGGGTGTTTCCATGTATACAGAAAGTTTGATCTGAACTCTAATTCACTAATTCATTATCAGCTTCCAGTTTCATGACCAATTCATTTTTAGCCTTCGGTCTGTTACATTTGCTTAGTGATGCTGGAAAAAGTGTTAACTTCATTACTTCACTTCACGTAAAGGGGATCTATTTTGGTGTCAACAAGCTAGCTTCTTATACAGTTTTCTTGGTTGATGACGATGCCCTTTTTTGTCCTACCTTTTTGTATTTCTGTGTCACTATATGTAAGCTAGAGAGGAATATATTGGGAGATAAATAGCATTGTGAGACCCTACGTTGTCAGCACGGTATACGTTCCATTCTCCATTTCAATCCCGTCATTGTACTCTCATACTCGAAGAAGGATATGTTCAGTGTGTTCGTCCTTTTATCACACTGATGGTCATTTCACTCTGTTTACCATTCAGTATTCATGTAGCCTTGGTTGGTATTCTTGTCTCTTTGTTGGCTTGTTAATTAGCTAAGCTTTCTCTTGATCACACAAATATGCAGCCATCCATATAATATTGCTAAACTAGGAAACTATAGTTGTCCGTTCTCTCTGTTTACCGTATATTGTCATGTACCGTGATTTTATGCATGTGAATGGTCTTCAATTCTGTTTGCCCCGGTCAGTCATCTACCGCATACTTAGCAAGTGCTTTTGGACCTGCAGAATTGTGCCAGACAGTCCTTCAGCACGTATGATGGATCTTCCAACAACAAGGAAGCTTGCCATGAAGAACAAGGTTGTTTTTGGTACAGGTGACCGCTGGCGTGCTCCCACTTTGACTGCTAACATGGGGTTCGTACGAGCTGTTTCACAGTCTGGTATGCCTTTGTTGACCATTGAGCACAGACCTCGTGCCCTGATCGGCTTGTGAAGGCAGATAACCCCATAGTTTAAGTATTCCAAACCGAATGTAAGAGTCCTGAAGTTGTAACCAGCAAGTGTGCTGTAGTCTTAGTTCAGTCGATCCCATATTTTTGAAATGGCAGATAATAAGGCATAATGGATATCTCATGTCTCTGTACATAAGATTGTACTACTAGCTACTAGTAAAATTGATAGGCTGAAACAGTGATGTGTGTATATTAAGTACTTCAGTTTGTTGGTTTGTCAAAATGTCCTGTGACATAACTCTTGTAAGGCCTGGTTCGGTTTGGAGAGGTTTGAAGGGGTCAAAGGGGATTAAATTCCTTGCAATTCAAAATCCCCCTCAGTCCTACGTGTATCTCATGTCTCTGTACATAAGATTGTACTACTAGCTACTCCCTCCGTTCCAAAATAGATGACTCAACTTTGTACTAACTTTAGCACAAAGTTGGATCATCTATTTTGGGATGGAATACTAGTAAAATTGATAGGCTGAAACAGTGATGTGTGTATATTAAGTACTTCAGTTTGTTGGTTTGTCAAAATGTCCTGTGACATAACTCTTGTAAGGCCTGGTTCGGTTTGGATCGAATGTGAATCGTGCAAACAATCTTGAACCCCTCAGATTACTGTGAGACAGGAGGAGCTGTGGTTACCGACAATCAAGCATTGTGTCCCGGAAGTAAATGGAGTCACACATGAGCCTGATCCCATCCTGATTTCCTTTTCCCCTGTATTGTACTCCCTCCGTTCCCAAATATTTGTCTCTCTTCCCAAATATTTGTATTTCAACAAATGACTATGCTCTAAAATATGTCTACATACATCCGTATGTTGTAGTCTATTTGAAATGCTAGAAAGACAAATATTTAGGAACGGAGGGAGTAGGTAACAAACAATTTGTTTAATTATAAGTAAACGCCAAAGTTGAAAAGAAGAACAAGGCGCGCGGCTAAGGATGAGTGAAATTTTACGTTCTGTAAAAACGCCACCTAGAGTCAGGCAAGAACTTGCACATTCAACTGGTCTCTTTCAAAAACTGTTGTCTGGATTTATAGACATGTTTTAGTGTTTTTTGGTATGTACTCCACATTGAAATATCCAGACCATCTTAGGAGTATTTGTAAACAGAGGGAGCATACACAACATCAACAAAACGTCACCTTCCCCTCACCCCGTTCAATGTCAGCAGAAAATGGTTTATTTCTTTTACTAAGAACGACAAAGTGACTTTAATACAACAATAAGTCTTTTTCTCATGAATCCTGCTTTCACCACTTAATTCTCATACAGATGATGAAAGATTTTATTTTCACATCAACAGTAGCGCAAACATATCAAAAACCAGGACCGAGTAAATAGTAGCAGAACTCCACTGTTCCTTCAAGATCAAACAAATGTTTTACCTAAGACAAGACAATCCTTTAAAACCTAGTAAAACCAGAGGTAACTTGACGTGATCTAGTAATTTTTCCCACAATGTATCAAGCTCCCAGCTCCCAGGAAAAGCCCGAATACCGCAGCGCTGCCAACAGTGGCCTGTCCGATGTGTCTGATCTTCAGCAGCCCAGGGACCTGAAACAAAATCAGATCACACCGGTGAGCACTCGCAAATTCAATGACGCGTTTGCTTGTAGATTAAATTAAATCAGCTAAAACAATGCAGGTGAAGTGATGTGATGTGTTTCATACAGCAAATTATAAACTGGTAGATTTAATGCTTACTTTGCCTTTTTTTCAGGATTATGATGTAAGTTTTGCTTTCAGTGTGTTGTGCGTTGAATAGTAGCATGTTTAATTAAAGAAAGCTTTGAAATTTCAAATACTAACTGTTGACTAGCGCAGGCTTTTTTTAGTTAATCATTTAAAAAAAGATATGAGGTGGCTGAGGTGGAAAAATGAGAGTTATGATTATAAAAGATAAAGAGCAGAACAGTGGCTGAACTTCTAATTTACTGATTTTGAGCACCATATAAACTAGTAATTTCTGAACTTTAACACATCAAGTGTGGCATGAAAATACAGACCCAAAAAAACAAGTGGTGGTGTTCTACCACAAAGTAGCTCATGTATTAAAAAGCAAAAAAAGATTACCCTCAATCTGATAGCGGCATAAGTCCCATACACAGCACCTGCACAAAAAGGGGGGGAACATGCCCATTAATTCCATGATATTAATTTCATATCCTACGCCAGCACTTGAAGTTCTGAAAACTAAGAAGAAAACACAAACCAAAAAACAACAATAAGCAGCTCCCTCATAATTGCATCAAGAGATTGCTAGTAGGCGAGTAGCTCTAGAACTGTTAAGCTGAAGGAGCAAACTAAGAATACTGAGAGCATCCATAAGAGCGCTAATTATTCAGCAGAACAGCCAGTTGTGCCTCCAATGTCCAAAAACATGACTAAGCAGCATATCTAACCTTTTGTGTTTCCACGAGCATTGTTAAACAGAAGGAGTGGAGCTATTACTACTTGTCAACGTCAGTTGCCAAGATACACCATCCAAACAACATAAAAAGTCTTTAACTTGTTATTATCACTTATCAAGCCCAGAATTGTGTAACTAGGGCCAGAAACTGAATATTCTGATCTGTCACGCATTTCACATTAGCATCAATGACCCTATAATATTACTCGTCAAAAAGTAACCAAGAAGATCTAGTCATCTTCTCTCACCAGTGGCCCGAATTCCTAACCACCACCACCAGTCGAACACCTACGACAGGGGTCAACAATAAAAGCCCAACACTTGAGCGAGCAGCCTCCAGATGCTCAGCAGCAAGTCGTCACAGACGTCTGCTTCCACCGCGAGGAAATCTCCTACTTTATGATACAACAAGATTTCCTACCGGACGCAACAGCTCATGGGCCCACATCACAGCCTGAACCTACTAGGCGGATGTCGCAGATCAGTAACTAACCCCACGAATCAGTCCTGGCCCTGAACGAATTTTGACCAAAGCCTAGAAGCGAAATCGGACCAGCGCCGGGCGGATTGGCACAGGGCCAGCTAGGGTTTAGGGTTTTAGGTAGGGAGGGAGGAGCTTACCGACGGCTCCGCCGACCGCGCCGCCGATGGCGACTCCGGCGCCGATGCGCGCCAAGCAGCTATCGCTCCTCGCCATCGCTTCTCCTCCCTTGCCGCCGCCGCCGCTCTCCTCCTTTCCCCACGGCACCTTCTATTTCTTGCTTGGTTATTAATCTGACTCAACGCAGCGTCTGCTTATGGGCTGCTTGCCTTGCGCGTCTGTTCGGGGCTTCGGGCTGCATCTGGCCTTGGTTTTATTTCTGTAGGATTGGGCCCGTGTTTAGATACGGACCGTCCGATTTTTTGTGTAACGTACGGGCGGTATGAAGTTTTCTTGGAGCGAAACTAAACCAAAATGTTTTCTTGGAGGAGATAAAATATATTTTTTTCTTGGAGTATAAGTTTTCTTGGAATCGAAGTATTCACTAGTAATGTGTAGCACTTTACGCAAAAAAAAATAGTAATGTGTAGCACAATGAATTGAAACTTTTCTAAAAAAAATCCCAATCATTATGGGTTTGGATTTATGTTTTTTGAGATATCAAGGAAAAAGTATTTTTCTTATTAGAAACGAAAGAAAGTCCTGCAACTACTTATAGGATTTCATATGACAGACGACATTTTAGTATCATTTCTATCATTAAGAAAATGATGGATGTCAATACACATATGACGTTTCCTGGGGGTAAACCAAGCGAACGGTTGTTCCCCCAGCCAGGTAGGAACGAACAAATTGTTTTAGTTTGCTAAAAAAATCACTCTCTGCGAAATGCTACAGAATTGTCATGCGAAAATAGGCTAATTTTTTGTGTTGTTGTATAAGGATTTATCATGTTCTAAGTATAAAAAAATACATGATGTATAAAAAGTTTGTCACAAAACTGCCATACATTTTCAGAGATTTGTCATAATTACAACATGGAGAATTGCCAGCCTAAAAATATAAAATGATAAAATTGTCATGATCAGGATATGCCATACTTGCTGAAGGAAATTGTTATGCTACATCAACAGGAAAAAAAGTGAAAAATTAGCAAGCTCTAAAAACAGAAATTGTCATTCTGAAATGTGTTCGCTGAGATTGCCAGATTGCAATCCTGAGCAAAGCATTCTTATTTCGGAGACCTTCCT